CCTCTCTCTCTCTCTGTCTCTCATGAATAAACAAATAAAATCTTAAAAACAAACAAAAAAAAAAACCAAAATCCACAATGAACTATCACCCCACATCTGTCAGAGTGGCTATCATCAAAAAAACAAGAAATAAGCATTGGTGAGGATGTGGAGAAAAGAGAACCCTGTGCCCTGTTGGTGAGCATGTAAATTGATACAGCCGCTTTGGAAAACAGTATGGAAGTTCCTCAGAAAATTAAAAGTAGAACTACCATATGTTGCAGTAATTCCACTTCTGAGTATTTACCTGACATCTGAAATCACTGTCTTTTTATTATGTTCAGTTAGCCACCATATAATACATCATTAGTTTTTGATGTAGTGTTCCATGATTTATTGTTTGCGTATAACACCCAGTGCTCATCACAACATGTGCCCTCCTTAATACCCATCATCCGGCTACCCCATCCCCCCACCCCCCTGAAATCACTATCTTGAAAAGATGTCTGCACTCATTTATATATATATATATAATCATCTGCCCCTCCCCCTGCTCGTTCTCTCAGTCTCTCTCAAATCTTCTTTTTCTTTAAAGATTTTAATTATTTATTTGACAGAGACAGACAAAGCGAGAGAGGGAACACAGCAGGGGGAGTGGGAGAGGCAGGAGCAGGCTTCCCGCTGAGCAGGGAGCCCCATGCAGGGCTTGATCCCAGGACCCTGGGATCATGACCTTAGCCAAAGGCAGACACTTAACGATTGAGCCACCCAGGTGCCCCTCAAATAAATAAAATCTTTCAAAAAAAAAGCTCTCATCCCTCCCCAAAATTTGTAACTATATGTGATGACGGATGTTAAATAGACTTACTGTGGTAATCATTTCAAAATATATACATATATCAATTCATTATGTCATACACCTGAAACTAATACAGTGTTATATGTCAATTATATATCAATAAAAATAGATGGAATAACTATATTAATTTCAGACAAAGCAGAGTTGAGACTGACAGAACTAGAAGGATAAATTAACAAACCCACATACATATTTGAAGATTTCAAAACTTCTTTCTCAGTAACTGATAGAACAAGTACACAGAAAATCATTAAGGGGAAAGAAGACTTAAGTACTATAAAGAAGTTTAATATGATTGACATTCACTCTACACAATAATCACCAGAATATACAATTTTCTCAAATGTATTTAAAATATTCATCAAAATACTCCATATGCTGGCCTATAAACTAAGTCTCAAAACATTTTAAACAACTGAAATCAGGTTCATTCATGAATTAGGTTGTTTAAGAAAAACAACCTAATGTCCACTACTAATAACAAAAAGATACCCGGAAAATTCTAAATACTTGGAAATAAACTCAGGAGATATTGTAGGATATTTTGAAGTAAATAAGATGAAAATACAGCATAAAAATTAGTGGGAGCTACAGCATTGCCTAATGATAAGTTTATACCTTTAAATACTTAGATTAGAAAAGAAGAAATGTTTAAAATCAATAATCTAAGCTTTCACTGTAAGAAAAATTAAAGATATAATTAAACCCAAAGAAAATTGAGAAGGAGTACAATTGATCCTGAGGGAAATGTTTTTCTGGTTTTTGGGGTTTTTTTAATTGAAGTATAATTAAAATAGCATGTTATATTAGCTTCAGGTGTATGATATAGTAATTCAACATTTCTATACATTACTCAGCATTCATCATGATAAGTGTACTCTTAATCCCTTTTAACTATTTAACTTTCCCCCTCCCTCTGGGAACCACCAATTTGTTCTCCATATATGAATTTTTTTTCTTTTTTTCTTTGTTCATTTGTTTCTTAAATTCCACATGTGAGTGAAATCACACAGTATTTGTCTTTCTCTGTCTGACTTATTATTTCACTTAGCATTATATCTTCTAGGTCCATTCATGCTGCAAATGGCAAGATCTCATTCTTTTTTATGGCTGAGTAATATCCCATTTTATACACACATACCCACACCCCATCTCCTTTATCCATTCATTTATCGATGGACACTTGGGTTGCTTCCATATCTTGGCTATTATAAGTAATAATGCAATAAATATAGGGGTGCATATATCTTTTCGAATTAGTGTTTTCATTTTCTTTGCATGTATACCCAGTAGTGGAATTACTAGATCATATAATAATTCTGTTTTTAATTTTTTAAGGAACTTCCATATTGTTTTCCAAGTGGCTGCACCAGTTTGCATTCCCACCAACAGTGTTGTGTTTTTGATTTTAGCTGTTCTGGCAGGTGTGAGGTGATATCTTATTGAGGTTTTGATTTGCATTTCCCTGATAATTAGTGATGTCGAACATTTGCTCATGTGTCTGTTGGCCATTTGTCTACTGATGGAAATGTTAGATGTCTTGATTGTGGTGATAGTTACAAAGGTATAAACATATGAAAAAAACATTTGATAAAACGTATCAAACTTTATATTTTAAATGGGTGCATCTTATTTTAAGTAAATTTTACATCAGTCAAGTACATTTTTATTTATTATTTTTTTTAAAGATTTATTTATTTGAAAGAGAGAGCGTGGGGGGGGGCAAAGGGAGAGGGAGAAAGAAACTGTCATCTTGGTATTTGTTTGCTATTTATTCTAATGCCCTTTATTCATCTTTCCTGCTTTCTTTTGGATCAATTATATTTTAGTATTCCATTTTGTCTCCACTATTGATTAGCTAACTATACCTCTTTATTTTCTTAATGGTTGCCCTAGTGGTTAACATATGTATCTTTAACTTATCATTGTCTATCTTCAAATATGATTGGCTGGTGGCAGGAAAATGACAGCAGAATTAGATAGCTAAGTGATTAGAGAGAATAGGGATGAGTGATGAGATTATTAGCAGAATGAACGCTAGTTATTAGAGGTGTTGATAAATATGTTATAAATTCTCTTACATCAAAGAGTATAGAGCTAATGATAGATAGATAGCCTAGAAAGTGAAATATTAGGGATATGGAGAACTGATAGGAAATGGCTACTTAAGTAACCCTTGAAGGCATAGTACATCTCTACATATTTCCATACCTGTGTGTGTTCTTATGCAATCATATACATTATGCCTCTTTAAGGCACTCCTGAAAGCTCAGTCACTTTTAGGTGGGAGTAAGTTTATATGTTTGTAGTGGAGAAAGGATGTGTTTGAACAACTATCTTTGATAACCCTTAGTAGTTCAAAAAGCATCACTGAATTCTCATGAGCTAGTTTAGACTAGGAAGGATTCGTCTTCAGCTTTTGAACTTGCATCTGTATACAATATATGAAAATATTCTTTTTTTAAAAAGATTATTTATTTGAGAGAGAGAAGATTTGAAGATTTGAAGATTTCAAAACTCTCTCATGTGAGAGAGAGAAAACACAAGTGGGGGGAGGGGAAGAAGGGAGAGGGAGAAGCAGACTCCGCTGCTGAGCAGGGAGCCTGATGCAGGGCTCAATCCCAGGACCCTGAGATCATGACCTGAGCCGAAGGCAGAGCCACCCAGGTGCCCCTACATCAAAATATTAATGATGCCAAGTTATCCAGAGAAATTTTATGGTCAACTTCAGTTTAAGGAAACAGAACAACTTTTTTTTTAAACAGTGATTTTTTTTTACAATGTTTTCTTTCCAAAAAATTTTATAGTGAGAGAAGGGCTCTTTCTGGTGTGAAGGAATAGTCTAGAAAAGTGAAAGATTCAGAAGATTTTACTCCTACTTTGTTATGTACTTAATTATAGAAAGTACCTTACCATGTTCCTTCATTATATTTTCCTTAACGTATGTCTTTCTCCATTCCCTTTAGTATTCTTCAGATGAGAAATTAAACTTTGTTTATGATTAAAACTTTCAACATTGAATAGGTTTTTATTCTTTAAGTTTTATACAGAACAATTTTCCTTTTATGTTTGTTAGCAGAAAGAATAAAAGACCAAAATCAACATACTGTGAATAAGCAGTATGAAAGAGAAAGGCAGAGACTTGCTTCTGGAATAGAAGAACTACGTGCTAAGTTGGTGCAAATAGAAGCTGAGAATTCTGATTTGAAGGTTAACATGGCCCACAGAACTAGTCAGTTTCAGCTGATACAAGAGGAGCTGCTGGAGAAAGCTTCAAACTCTAGCAAACTAGAAAGTGAAGTAAGCTTGAATTAGCTGTTTATATGTACTAACTTTGGAGACAAGAAAAAAGGCACTATAGTTGTGTAAAAGTTGTATGTGTAAGTCCAGATTTATACATCAGTTATAAATTCTTTTAAAATTATATTTGGAAACCTTTGGGTTTTAACCTATGTTAAAAGTGAGAAATTACTCTCTAGTGGCTAACAGGTCTCAAATATGGTGGACCTTCTAATGTATTGCAGTCTGTTATTTCTTCCAAGTATAAGTTAATATGGCTAATACACATTTACAAGTCAAGAATTTGGATTATGTAATTGGAAGAAAAGGAGTGATAATAGAGGATTTTGAATGTTAGCTAACAGCAGAACCGGCTGGGAAGCCTGTTAAACATGTAGATTTCTGGGTACTGTTCTAATGATTCTGATCCAGTAGGTATGGAGTCATGCTCAGAAATCTGCATTTGTGAACAACTGCATGTGATTATGATGCAGATATGCTTGGATTACATTTTGAAAAGTGCATAATGTGTGTTTTGTGAGTATTTGATCTTCATTTCTATTGAGGATAGAATAAGGATGCCTTTTTAGGTAATTATAGACCAGGACCACATGTGTATATGTTATACTCACTTTAAAACTGAGGCTGATGCTGTCTGTAGGAGTACTTTTAAAAGGTCTGATTTCTCATTTTAAAATCTGTAGCCTACACCAAGGAAAAACTTACATTATGTAAGTAATGGAAAAGGAGATTTAGTCAGTCTAAATCTAAATTATAGCCATCAGCTTACTTAGAAAATTATCTAGTACTGAGATTAATAACTTTTCAAATTACAAAATTATTACAGTCTTGTTGAAAATACACAAAGGACAAAGAAGAAAATAAACCATTGATAATTCCACCACCAGAAATAGCTACTGTTAACATTTTATTATACTAATTTCAGTCTTTAACAGCTACTTTTAAGAAATGGGTTAGGATGCAATCATATTTGGACATAGGGGTCAGAATTAAACTACTTATGTATTACATAGATGGAACAATCTGTCATATACCTGGACTTCCCTTCACTATTTTTCTTCTAAATTGTCACTTATCTTTAAAAGTAATTTTTTAAAAAATAATTTTTAATTTCTTTCAATATGTTTTCAGATGACAAAGAAGTGTTCTCAACTTTTAACTCTCGAGAAACAGCTAGAAGAAAAAATAGTTGCTTATTCCTCTATTGCTGCAAAAAATGCAGAACTAGAGCAGGAGCTTATGGTAAAAATTACTGTTTGGCTACAAATTCACTGTGACTTTAAGGCACTTGATTTGTGACAGCGTGTTTGTTTTAGTATCATTGTTGTACAGTATACCGAATAGGAAAGTATAAATTCTACTAAACTTTCCTGATGATTCATTTTTTTGCTTCTGTATTTTTAAGTTTATAGGCTTATATGGCAAGTTGTTATCTGCCGTTTCTGATTTTTATTCTAGTAGAATTGAAGGAAATAGTATACTTCTTTGATAGACTTTTCAGTATTTTAAAATAGTTAAATCTTTCATTTTGATGTGGTTTTTTAAAATAACCATTTTGTCTCTTCAATAAATGTTTATTTTTGAAGTTTTACATATTACCTACTGTGATTCTTCAAAGAATAGAGTATGACAAATTTAATGCTTTACTTATGTACTTTTATGTAAAACTAGTTCTCAATTATATTCTTTTAAAGTCTTTTTGTATTTCTAGGAAAAAAATGAAAAGATAAGAAGTCTAGAAACCAATATCAATACAGAACATGAGAAAATTTGTTTAGCTTTTGAAAAGGCTAAGAAAATTCATCTTGAACAGCATAAAGAAATGGAAAAGCAGATTGAAAGAGTAAGATATTATGTTTTTCTTTTTTGTGGCTGAATAATATTCTACCGGGGGTGTGTGTGTGTGTGTGTGTGTGTGTGTGTGTGTGTTTGTGTGAGTATAAAAATAAGAGCTTGAAATATAGAGCAATAACATTATTCAAACTGAGCAACAGAGAGAAAAAAAGATTTGGAAAAAGAACAGAGCCTAAGGGACGTGTGGGATAATATCAGAACTGAAACTCTATACCCATTAAACAATACCTCCCATTATGCCCTCCCCCCATCCCCTAGCTACCATCATTCTACTTTCTTCTGTCCCAGTGATTTTGACTACCCTAAGTATCTCATGTAAGTGGAATCATACAGTATTTGTCTTTTTGTGACTGGCTTAATTCACTTAGCATAATGTCCTTGAGGTTCATCCATGTTGTGGCATATTGCAGAATTTACTTCTTTTATAAGAATGAATATTCTGTTGTCTGTATATACCACATTTTGCTTATCCATTTATCTATCAATGGACACTGATTGCTCTGGCCAGAACTTCTAGTACTGTGTTGAATAGAAATGAAAGGGGGCATCCTTGTTTTGTTCCTGATCTTAGAGGAAAAGTTTTCAGTCTTTCACCATTTTCAGTATGATGTTAGCTGTAGGTTTTCCATATATGGCTTTTATTATGTTAAGGTAGTTTTATTTTATTCCTAGTTTGTTGAGTGTTTTTATCATGAAAGGGTGTTGAGTTTTGTCAGCTTTTCTGCATCAATTGAGATGATCATACGTTTTTTTTTTCTTCATTCTGTTGATATGGCGTATTACATTGAGTTTTACATGTTGAACCACCCTTGCATTCCAGGAATAAATCCCACTTGGTCATAGTGTATAATCCTTTTACCATGCTGCTGAATTTGGATTATTAGTATTATATTGATTCTGGCTTTAATGTTCATAAGGGATATTGATCTGTAGTTTTCCATTAGTGTTTTTGTCTGGTTTTAGTATCAGGTTAAAACTGGTCTCAGAATTAGTTAAGAAGTGTTCTCTTGGGGCGCCTGGGTGGCTCATTCATTAAGCATCTGTGTTTGGCTCAGGTCATGATCCTAGGGTCCTGGAATCCAGCCCCGCATCGGGCTCCCTGCTCAGCAGGAAGCCTGCTTCTCCCTCTCTCGCTCCCTCTACTTGTGTTCCCTCTCTCACTGTGTCTCTCTC